GAACAGTAAAGGAAAAGGGCCATGAACTGAGGGCTTGCTGGGCGGTGCTCCCCTCCCCTGGGCATGAGGCTGGACGCGCAGCTGGACACGCAGTCGGACGCAGCCCCTGCGGGCCCCGTCCTGGCGGCCCCAGGGAGCCAGCCTCGAAGCCGAGCGTCCCGCTCACAGGGACAAAGATCAGAGTCCCCGATTCTTACCACGCAGAGACCACTTGTGACGGTTTCAAATGTGTTGGCGCCATGACGTGTCCAGGGAGAAGCACAAAGGTTCTGGTCTCAGCCTTTCACTGTGGAAACTGGTGGGGATTCCCAGGCCACCGCTGGGGTCTGCGGGACGCCCTGGCCATGGGCACAGTGGCCAGGTGGGCCTTTCTGTCCGGTCCCCACAGGACTGCCCGAGATGTCCAGGCGTTGCCTTCTCAGTGTGAAGGCACCTGTGGCAGGGGACAGAGCTGTCACACAGCAGGCTTGTCACAGCCAGCTTCCTCCCTCGAGGCCTGAGAACAGCTCCTTGACCTGGTGCCAGGACGCGAGGCAGCCACCTTCCGTCTGATCCGGGCAGAGGGGGCCCCGTGAGCACGCCCGTCATGGGCTGACGACGCGCCCTGAGTCTGCGCCTGGTGTGTTGCTGCTGGGCACTGGGCGTCACTGCTGGTGCATTGTTTTTCAGCGACGCCCTCATGTTGGTGATGCTCTGCGATGCTTTGGCTCGCGGCTTGATTATCAGCTGGATTCCAACGCAGATGCCAGAAAAATCCCGGAAACTCATGCGACCAAACCTGTCTCATACACCACTGGACTCAGGGGCCGCCTCTGAAGTCAGAGCTGCAGTGGAGGTACTGCCTGTGCCTGTGACATGGGGCCGGGTGGCGGGTGACCCTGCGGGAGCAGCTGGGAAGTGGGACCGGCAGACAGGTGGCAGTGCCAGGGAGGGGATGGCCCTGCCAGGCCCAGGCCGGTCCTGTGCGGCTTTCCAGAACGGAGAGCAGCGTGGACAGAAAACTGAAAACCCAGACCAGTGCCAGTTAAGAGCAGAAATGCAATTCAAATAAAATAGTCACAAACCAAGGGCTGTGACCGAGTGGGAGCGCTTGTCCCATAAAACTTACTTTCATAAATGTGGCCTTTACTGTAGTAATCCCTAAAAAGGAGGAAAGTCATGTCTTGATGGATGTTGAAAAACGTTTGCTAATCCTTCACCCATTTCTAGCTCAGAAGAAGTTTATAAACACAGAAGAAAGCAACTTTCTTACTGAGTTTGGGGGACCTGTCAGAATGTGCCGCCAACCTGAGTGTGAGGGGAGGACGGGCGTGAAGGCCCCGCGCTGCCCCCGGAGGGCCCCGGGCTGAGGGCATGAGGGCCGCCGGGCGTGGCGGTGAGGCTGCTGTCGCAGTCCCGCCGAGGGAGAGCCTGAGCCACTCGTTCCAATGACGTGGGTCTCGGCCCAGGTTCCCATCTGGGATGCTGCTTTGTGAGCAGCGACACCTCCGTTTCAGGTCTGCGAGTTCGCCCTGAGCCTGACCAGCAAGGCAGTGCCCGAGGAGGCCGTGCCCACGGAAGCGCGGCATCAGCTCATCGCCACCTGGGTGAAGGCCAAGCAACTGCTGCAGCAGCAGATCGGGCCGCGGCTGGGCACAGACGAGCAGGTGCCCGACCACGGCCAGGCCGTTCCGCGCCAGTCCCCGGCTCTGGGCCCTGCCAGCCTGCACAGCAGCACAGTGGGGACACCGCCTTCTCCAGGGAAAGGATGTCCCTCTCCAGGGAGGGCTGTCCTCCCTGAGGTGGATGCCCATGGTGGGCACCACCCTTTCCTTCCACCACCTGGCTGCTCTTCTAAATGCCCACCAAGACGCTGGGCCTCTGGGGGTGCTGTCCACCCTTGATGACACTCACTGTGGCCTTATCTAGAGGTGCACCCAAGCCAGAGGGGTCCCTCCTTGGCAGGGTACCAGGGGACCCTGAGCTGTGGACACAAGGCCATGGGAGTGGGGGGTGGGGGATAAGCAGGGATACGGAGAGGACGGGAGAGGCCAGGGCTCTGCTCCTGCACATAGGGGCTGCGTGGCCACTGACGGAGACTGCGGGAGACGCCCATGGGCACCGGCCAGAGCCAGGATGCACTGGGCCAGGCGGGAAGGGGGACTGGCAGGTGGCTAAGGAGGGCGTCCGAGTGGCAGGAGTGACGGCGGGCTGGAGCAGGGCGAGGGGAGGGACCTGCAGGCAGAGGCCACTCCACCTCAAGCCGGGTCAGCTCAGGCGCCTGACCACTAGGGTTGTACTGCTTCCTCCCTCTTTCTGGAGTCTGAAGGTCACGTGGAGATAAATGCGCACAGAGAGCTCCGGTGACTGCCGTGGAGCTGGTGTTTCACAGGACGAAGTCCTGAGTGTCCCACGTCCTCCCGGCACCCTTGGACTGACAGGCACTGCCTGTTTCCTTCTTACCAGAGCACCAGTGAGGACGTCAGCTCAGTGACCAGAGTCCTTGTTGCTCTGGAGATGTATTCCTGCAACGGGCTGGGCCTCATGGACTTCACCGTGCCCCCCTTGGCCCAGGTAGGTGTCACCCCCCTAGGTGTCACCTCCTCTCCAGGTGTCACCGCCATCCCAGGTATCCCCTTCCCCCCAGATGTGATCTCCCCTCCATGTGTCACCTCCCTCGGGTACCACCCATCAAGTGTCACAGTCCCCCCAGGTGACACCTCCCCCTGGTGTTACCTTCCCTCCCAGATGTCAC